CCAGTGGCAGGAGAGCATGATCTGGGCAGGGTCTGAGCACGGCCTTATCTTTGAGTATGAGGAGATCGGACCGGGCGAGTTTCCCGAAGCCTTGGTCTTCAGATCCAGCACGGGCCGTAGGCCAGGCCTGGGCAAAGAAACTAGTACCTCAACCGGCTTCCCTGAGCGTCACAGCTCGGTGATCGCGCCGGCCGGACACCACTGTGACGTCCGTTCCGGGCATTTGAACGCGACCTTCGGGGGCAAAGACATGGGCTCTATGGCTCAGACTGGACTCCTCTTGATCCCTTCTGATGCCCTAGGCCACACCTGGGCCTTACCTGGGGTCCTAGGGGCCGGGCAGGGTTTGCCCCCCCCAACTGGCCCGGAGAACCTTAAGGTTGATTTGGCCGGGTCAGATTGTTCTGGACGACGTACGTGACGCCGGCGTCCGTCATCATTTCCCCCCGCTTGGCCAGGTAGAGAGCGGAGGCGCCGACGACAGCCGCGGCGACGAGCGAGGCCGACGGCGCCGGAATGTCGGGGATGTTTCCAAAGGATGACGAGGAGCCGGACGAGAAGTTGCGCCGGCCGCCGCGATAGCCGCCACCGCCGAATGATGGCGTACCGGTCGAGAGGGCGCCAGCGCCGGCCCGAGTGGTCCGGCCGGAGGAGCCTGGCGAGGTAGCGGCCCGGGTGGTCGAAAAATTGCGTGGCGCCGACGTAGTGGCGCGGCGAACCACGCCCGAACTCGTCCCCCCTGGGCGTCTTTCGGAAAACGACCGCTTCGACCACGTGGCGTCGGGAAATGACCGGTTTGGGGGGGATAAGGCTGATCCCCCCTGGGCGTCTTTCGGAAAACGACCGCTTCGACCACGTGGCGTCGGGAAATGACCGGTCAAGTGACCGGTCCAATATGAAATGACCGGTCCCAACGAGGGGCCGGAATCCGAGGTAGATGCGAGTCGCGACGCCAGCGGAAGTAGCCGCGCGGCCGCGGGCAAAACAGCACGGCCCGCGGGTGCGAGGGTGGGAAGGATCGAGAGAGTCGACATTGCCATCTCGGTGCTATGGCCGCGCCGCGTGCGTGGACGCGCGGCTTTTAGGCTGTATCCATGTTTCCTCGCGCACCCCGTCTCGTTTCCTTTCCGTGTTTCTCCACAGCACCCTCTCGTTTCCCATCTAGTTTCCAAACTCCGTGGAAATCGTCAAATTTTGGACTCTGAGCCGAGTCTGAGGCTGGTTTGGGCCCAAAATCAGCCAAATTTTAGGCCAAATGGGCAAAATGCCGAGAATTTTGCGGAGAACCCGTGTATACCTGCGCCGCGGCTCGCATGTCCAAGGATTGTCACAGGAGGACGAGCGCACCTCCGCTCCACCAGCAATGCGCCGCCCGAAGCCACGCAGGCTTTCCAAGGATGACATAGTTGCCGGCGTGCGCGGCATCATGGGCTTGGCGCTTGGCGGGGGCGCGCGGGCGCGCCCCCAGGCTCCGCACACAGCAGCCAGCACGAGATGACTGTCGCGTGTCGGACGACGGACGGCGTTCCAAGACATGCGCTCGAGCACATGCGCTTTTGGCCGGTGGCCCTTTTGGACAAAAAAACCTAGCCGTCGCGGCTAGGACCGCGCATGCAGGCGCGCACGGTGACACGTGGCGTGACGTGGCGTACACCGAGTGAGAGAAGTAGAGTGATGAGGTTGCACGTGGAAGCGCATCTCACGTCTCGTCCTTGGCGCTTCTCTGCGCTGTCCTCCGTTTCGCCCTTTCCCCTCTCGGACGGCTGCCTCCGGAGGCCTCTGCCGGCGCTTTGCCCACCTCCCACCCGTCAGCGAGCGCGTCGCTGCCGTCCCACGCGTCGACCGCCCTCGCCCACTCCAGCACAGCAGCCTCGTTCGGCGGGCCTGCGTACTCCAGCACACGCTTGCCAGGCGGAGCGTTGCGGAAGAAGGCCTTCAGCATCGGCCGGCCCGCTTCGACGCCCTTGGCAAAGCCGCCGCCCGTGTCGGTCGCATCAGGCTCGAGGCTCAGGCGGGCAAACTCGAGCCCGGGCACTCGCTCGGCCACGGACGCCAGCGTCGGCGAGAAGCTCTCGGCGCGATGGCAGCCTCTAGTGTGGAGCAGGAGCACCACCTTCTCGTTCTTCATCACGAGCTCTTTCGTGGCCGCCATGTCAATCGCCGCGAGGCTCGAGGGCTGAGACGTGTGCGGCTCATCGCCGAGCGTGGTCGCGGCGGCGAGCGATAGCACGATCCTCTGTAGGCGGCGAGCCATTCGCTTCTATAGGGGCACTCAGGGTGCGGTGTGTGGTCGAGACCGGCGTGCGGCGGGCACGCTTTATCGCGCAGAGCTTGTCGCTATGCCAAGCTGCCTGGGTGAAGAATTCGAGGTCCGAGCGCCTCTCACAGCAGAGCTGGCTCGGACTGGGTGGAAGAAATCGGCCTTACACGTGGCGAGGAAGTGTGCATCACTATTGCTCTCTAGAAAAGAATATTTCCTGACAGCATCAACACACACACACACACACACACACACACACACACACACACACACACACACACACACACACACACACACACACACACACACACACACACACACACACACACACACAAGAGAGAATCGGCTACGGGACCGGCCCCAGCTTCGGCTGAGGGCTGACAAGCTGCCGAGCCCAAATCACTGTGAGAGTCGTGATTTCTTGTTGGTTAATAAAAATCTCTCTCTCTCTCTCTCTCTCTCTCTCTCACACACACACGCACGCACGCACGCACGCACGCACGCACGCACGCACGCACGCACGCACGCACGCACGCACGCACGCACGCACCGGCACGCACGCGGCACGCGGCACACGGAAGATGCTAGGGCACGGGCGCGACGGGAAAGCCTCCATCCAGTATTGAGAAAGAATAAATCCAGTATTGATTTAGTCAGGTATACGAGCCTGACACCGGGGACCAGGCAGCGGTGCCGAGGTTTCTTGGCTGTTGGCGGGGGGGGCCTGACACCAGGCAGCGGTGCCGAGGTTTCGGCCTGTTGGGGGGGGGGGGGGGGCGTTGCTCACATCTCTCCGGCTCGAACGGGGCGGGAAGCAGCGCGCCAACGACATCTCAGCGACATCCGACATGTCGATGCTCACCCCCAACGCTTGCATCGACATGTGCTACGGCGAGAAGCCGACGCGACCGGTGGTTCAGCTCGTGGACGTGCGGCTGCAGGGCAAGAACAACAAGTGCGCCGGCACCGCCTCTCACTCAACCCGAGCGCCACCACTGCGCCGGCGGCGCAAAGGACCCGCACCTCCGACTCACACGTGCCCCGCTCGTGCGCAGGGGCGTGATGTCGGACGGTGAGACCACGTTCTTCGCCGTCTTCAACTCCGCCGTCGCCAAGATGTTTCGCTCCGAGAGCAACCCTGACGGCCAGGCGCGGCTCTCACCTGCCGGCCGCACTCGTAATACATGTCACCTCCCACCCACCCCGCCGACGTCCTCGCCGCGAGCCGCCACCCGCTGCCGCGCACGCATCGCCATCCCACTGCCCGCTGCCTGGCTCCACGCGCCGCTCCCGCCACCGCCAGCCTCGCCTCACTGGGCCGGCCGCTCCCTGCCGCCCGAAGGTCGAGCTCTACTCTGCCGTGCGGCTCACCGACTACACGATCTCGACGATCTCTGCCGAGACGCGCGTCGCCATCGTGATGGGCATGGAGATGAACGAGAGCCAGCCCGAGGGCAAGATCGGCGATCCCGTCTCGGCCAAGGACAAGGCAAGATCGACTCGCCCACCCGCGCCCACCCGCCTCCCTGCACACCGCCTCCCTCCCTCTCCTCTTCGCTCTCCGCTGCCTCTCCGCTGCCTGCCACCTCCTCCACCCCCCCCCCCCTCCCCCTCCCCTCCCCCTCCTCCCCCTCCCCACTCCGCTCGCCCCCCTCGCCCCCCCCCTGCAGGGCAAGCCCGAGCCGGCAGAGCTCCCGGCCGCGACGCCGTCCAAGGGCCCTTCGCCCGGCGGCCACTCCAACACCACGCCGGAGTCGTCGCAGCAGAGCCGCGTTGCCCCCGCCGGCTTCGCGCCCAAGCCGGCGGCGCGCGCGAGCGAGCCCGCGGCGCCCGGCCGGCCGACCCCGATCGAGGCGCTCAACCCCTACTCTCGCACGTGGACCGTCCGCGCAAAGGTGACGGAGAACGGCGAGCTGCGCTCAATCACGACCAAGGCGGGCGAGACGATGTCCGTGTGGGAGATGGTCATCGCGGACGAGTCGGGCGAGATCAAGTGCACCGCGTGGCGCGCGGACGCGGAGCGCTTCGCGCGCATCGCCGAGCTGGGGAGCACCTACCTCGTCTCGCGCGGCCAGATCAAGATTGCAAACAAGCGGTACTCGTCGACGGCAAACAACTACGAGATCACGCTCGGAGCCGACTCGGCGATGGTCAAGCAGGACGTCGAGCTCAAGACCTTCACGCCGACGTACCACTTCGACTTCACGCCGATCGCCGACCTCTCCGCCAAGCCCGCCAACTCGACCGTCGACGTGATTGGCTCTGTGACTGAGGTTGGGCCGGTGCAGAACATCGTCTCCAAGGCGGGCAGGGAGCTCGTCAAGCGCGTCATCAACCTGAGCGACGACTCGAACGCGGCCATCGAGGTGACGCTGTGGGGGAAGAGCGCCGAGACCTTCGCCGAGGACGCCGCCGCCACCGCCGCGGTCGTCGCTTTCAAGGGGCTCGTCGTGTCCGAGTGGAACACGCGCTCGCTCGGCGCCGTCCGCTCGACAAAGATCCAGATGGACCCCGACCTGCCGCAGGCGAAGCGGGTCAAGGCGTGGGCCGACACGGGCGCCGCCTCGGCAGCCACGTCGCTCTCCATCAACACCAGCGGCGGCGGCAGCGGCGGCGGCGGCGCCTCGATGGCGGACGATCTGGTAGCTCCGCCGCTCGCGCCGTGACCGCCCCCCTCGCCCGCCCGCTCACCTCCTGCCCCGCCTCGGCTCCTCAGGCGGAGCTCCTCGGCTTGCCGCCGTCCAAGATCCCGGAGAAGGGTGCGTACGCCACCGTGGGTGGCTACATCTCGCGGATTCTCACCTCGAAGGGCGGCGGCGGCGGCGGGCCCGCCGAGGAGAGGCCGATCTGGTACCCGGCGTGCCCGAAGTGCAACAAGAAGGCGATCGGCGAGTACGGCGCCGGCTGGAGCTGCGAGTCGTGCGGCTGGTCGGGCGACGCGTGCACGCACCGGTACATCGTCGCCGTGCAGCTGATTGACGCGTCCGGCACGTCCTACGCCACCGCCTACCAGGAGCAGGCCATCGCCATCTTCGGCAAGACCGCAGACGAGCTCAAGGCGATCAAGGACGCGGACCAGAGCGCGTTCGAGGCGGAGTGCAGCTCGGTGCTCTTCAAGCGGCGCACCTTCCGCCTCAGGGCAAAGATCGAGACGTACCAGGGCGTCGACCGCACAAAAGTGGGCGTCGTCAACTCGACGCCCACAACGCCGATCACCGAGGGGAAGCGCATGCTCGCCGACATCATGAAGTACGACCTGCCAGAGCCGCCCGCCCCCGAGCCGTCAGCTACGCCCGACGAGCCCATGCCGCAAGCGGCCGCCGACGGCGAGGCTGCGGAGCCGGCCGCCGTAGAGGCTTGATGCCGCCGACAGGCCGGCTCAGCACACTTATTAGCTGCCGCAGGGAGGACTGCGGCAGGGGCGTGAGCGTGAGAACCCTCACACCCCGCGCTCTCGCGTTGCGTACTGTACTCTGTTGGCGGCGTGTCCGTGCGCGCGACACATCGCATTTTCGCCCGGTCTTAACATGCATGCAGATATGTGTAATTCAAGTATGAAGTTCGTACCCTCACTTCCGCTCTCGACAGTCGAGGGGGAAAACTGCCGTGCAGGCCAGGCACCAGGCATGGGATGGCCGCAGGAGAGCGGGGGGGAGAGACTGCGATGTGCGATCGCTCGGATCTGCGCGCAGCCCCAGCCGCCAGGGCCCAGGCGCCACGCCGCCAGCCGGCGCGTGGCGGGGAGTCCCATGTGCTCCCATCACTTCCGTCTTGTGACCGCGAGGAAAATTCGTTTTGCGCGGCCGGATAAGGGTCCTGCTCGCGGCCGCTGCTTTGATGTTCAACACTTCACGCCCCCCGCGCCCCGGCCCCCCCCGACTCGTATTTACTGAGTCGTGTGAGTCTGGCTCTTGACTTCGCCACCGCCCGACACCGTACGTACGACTCATTCTCCCTGGCAGCTTGCTTATTCGTGCTTGGGGTGTCACTCCAACTCCCAAGACCAAGGCGCAAGCTGGTGCGCTCCTCCTCCTCTTCTTATCGACCCTTAGTCAACCTTGCTCGCTCTGACGCTCGCACGGCTCATGGCGATGATCGATGCGACGCCGCGGGCGGATGCCTCGCTCTCGACGCCTGCCCTCGCCTGCGCCTCGCGTGCGGCTTCGGCCCAGTCGACCCTGCTCACTGCCCACGCCAAGACGACCACCTTGAAGACTTCGCCGGCCAGGTCGGACCACCAAAAGCCAGGCAGTCCCCACCCCCATTGGATGGGCATGAGGTAGGCCAGCGGGATGAAGATTGCCCACGACGCGATGTTGTTCGCGATCAAGTTGATGTTCGCCTCCCGCGGACCTGATGGTTTGCGGCGGCGGGCCTGTCAGAAGGCAATGACACGGCGATCGGCACGCACTCACAAAAGGGAACCGAAGCATTCAGTGACGACCTGATCCTACGACCAGTAGGAAGGTGTCCTTCCATCGTGTGCACGCTTCTGGCGCAATGCGCGTCGCCTCGGATTGGCTGCTGGCACTCTCGAGGCTATGCCTACACAGCCTCGCGCGCATGGGCAGTCAGGAGGGACCACGCACCTTCACAGGACAGCGCCGGTGCCTCTCTCTTGGACTGGCAAACTTGGTGGTCTCGTGTCACCAATGTGGGACCAGTGCGGCATCGCGCCATCGACAGCTCTGAACTGCGCCTCACCACTGACCGGGAAGGCCGCCAAGTGGGCCAGCACAGGTCGCATATTGTGGCAGCAGTCAGCAGTGCATGTCTGATAGCTAGAGCTGCAGCGTCAGGGTCGCAGGGTCGGATCGTGTCAAGCCTCTCGCCCGGCCAGCCGCGTGCAGACGTCGGCCTGTCTGCTGTCTGGAGTGATCTGTCGGCGGTCAGAACGACCGATCAGGTTAGAGTTATCTGATGGTTGGAGGGTCTATCTGTATGTACTCCTCGAGATCTCTCCGAATCTGCCCTCTACTTAACCGTACTTAATCGGGAAGTCGGTGCTCATAGTACATAGAGACTCATAGAGCCGGGGCCCCGTTTCCGCACTGCGGCGCGGCGCACGGTGCCTCCGGGGGCCCCCGCGCCGGCCCAGAGGCAGGCGTGTGAGGAACAAGAGCCCCGGGCCCCCCGCGTTTCCGTTTGCTGCGGGGGTGAGTCGCGCAGGCCGCCAGCCGGGGCGGGCGGGGCATCGTTGGTGCATCGTACGGCCGTAGGGAGACGTAAGAGGAAGAGAGAGCGCTCATGAATCGTAACGCACTTGCTACCCTACCAAACTCGGTCCCGAATCCAGTCCTCTCCTCAACGCGATCATGGCGTCCGGTGCCGGCAAGCGCGCCCGCACCGCCGGTGGAGACGGCGAGGAGGACGAGGAGCCCGTGCCGGTCGCGGATGGCTTCGAGGCTCCCATCTTTTTTGGCGCGCGCGTCGGCCAGGTCGCCACGCTGACGCTCGAGGGCGAGGACGGCCCTCTGGCATCGCTCGGGTCGGTTGGCGTAGCGAGCGACCACGCGGGCGCCTGGTACGTCGCGACCAAGGACTCGCTGCTGCACGTCTCGGCGGCCGGGCGCGTGCGACGCGTGGCAGCCTTGCCGGCAAGTGACGAGTACTACTACACCGCTGCCCTCAGCCCGGACGGGAGCGCGGCGTTTGCGGCGGACTGCGAGAACCACAAGATCCGGCGGGTGGAGGTGGCGACTGGCGAGGTGACGACGGTCGCGGGCAGCGGCGAGAATGGCGACGCGGATGGCGTGGGCGAAGCGGCGCAGTTCCGCTACCCAACTGGCATCGCCATCAGCCCGGACGGGAGCGTGCTATTTGTGGCGGACTGCTGCAACTTCAAGATCCGGCGGGTGGAGGTGGCGACAGGCGCGGTGACGACGATCGCGGGCAGCGGCACAGCGGGCAGCGCTGATGGCGTGGGCGACGCGGCGGAGTTCGACGGCCCACGTGGCATCGCCATCAGCCGAGACGGCGGCGCGCTGTTTGTGGCAGACCAATGCCATAAAACAGGCATGAAGGAGCGCGACGCCGCCGAGGTCACGGTGCCCCATATCGACCCCGCCAGCTTCACCGCCCTCATCGACTACCTCCTCTGCGACAAGTTCGACCTCGGCGAGGAGGAGGGCAGGGCGCAGCGCGCGCTCGTGCTGCGGGAGCTGGCGCAGATGTACCAGGTGCCGCGCCTCGAGCTGCTCTGCGCGCAGGCGCTGCAGGAGAGCGTCGCGCCGGCGACCGCCGTGCCGCTGCTCGAGGCGGCGCACACGATGGGCGACGGGCGGCTCCTCGCGCAGTGCCGCCGCTACGTGGCCGACCACGCCGCCGAGGTGCGGGCGAGCGGCGGCGTGGAGCAGCTGCGCGACTTGGGCGTGGCCAAGGGGCTGCTCGGCGACGCGCTCGACCAGGTGGCGGAGCTCAAGGGTGCGATGCGCGAGGCGGACCTCGAGAAGGTCCGGGCGGAGCGGGCATGAGTGAGGGGCAGCGCCCCACGCCCTGCTCGCTCGCCGCTTGGGCCTTGGCACCAGCGAGAGCTGAGTGACGTTGCGGAGTGAGAGCGCAGCGCGCCGTGTACAGCTACAGGGAGCAGCTCCTGCGACACCCTTGATTTCTCGGGTACGTAAGAGGCCACGGTCGGTGATACCCGCCTTGCCCTTGTCCCGAATCCAGCCCTTTGTTCGCGCATGAGGTTGGCGCCACGGGCCTGCCTCCCAAAGCCGACCCGCCCTTTGTTTGTTAACGTGAATGACTTTTGCTGGCCGGAACCGTTTTTGATACGATTACCGTCGTAGTTCATCACCAAGCCTCTTTGACGGATGACTGCAGCCGGCGCACGAGCCCCTGCTGCCTCTACAGGGGAGCCGTGTGGTGCAATCGGACCCATGAGCAAGTCTGACCCCGCCGTGTACCGCTCCGCCCCAATCCAAAAGAAGCTGTCTGCGGCTCTTTCCGTCAAGCAATGCAAGCAAGACCAATGCCGCATCGCACAAGGGGTCTATAATAGTTCATGCTCGGGGCGCGCGCAGGCTCGAGGATCGCTTGGGGGTAACCCACCGCAGGACCTATCCCTAACGGCCTCCGTTCCGCCCACGCCTTGCAGGGACCGCGCTTCCCCGCCGTTCGCTCACGCTCAGCCGAGGATTTGGCAGCACGATATTCACGGGCCTTGGCGGCCCCGGCCCGTCGACCGCAGTCAATGCTGCAAAGGGTATCCCCCCCCCCCCCCCCCCCCACCCCCACCCACCCCACCCCTACCTGCCTTACCCTGCTCGGACATATCTACAGGCGTGGTTCGCACAACACTCGCGGGGTCAAGCTGGGAAAGACTTCTTCTGAACACGACGTAGTCCAGCGTGTCAAATGCCTCCCTCTGTACTATTACTTGCCATCACTTGAACGTGCATTCACGGCACCTACCTAGCGCATGTGAGTTTTGCGTAGAGAGCGTGTGTTGCTCTATGTGTGAAGTGACACCCTCCGTCACCGCCTCACCGGCCGAGATCAAAGGCGGGGCAGACAGTGCCCTGGCAAAAACCGCGATTACGCGTGAAGTCGCCGCGCCCCGTCCCACGTCTTGTCGGTCCGTAGCGGAGGGGAGAGGCGGCGGCGGCGCGCGCCTTTAGCTCAGTAAACTAAAGAACATTCCGGGTCGTACCTCCCAGTGCGCAGTGGGCAAGAGTAGACGAGGACCTCCCCCCCCCTCTCTGTGGCCTCTGACGCATCACTGCATGAGAGCACCAACGACGATAGCTACCCTGCGTCCTGTCTACGAGGCCGCGCCCCCAGCACACCGCCCTCTCCATGCCTCGTACGCAGCGCACACCAGAGAGAGGGAGGCGCAGCAAGCCTCCCCCAGGCTGCTCGTCTCCTCGACGACAGCACGGGCCAAATTCTGGCCCGCCTGAAGGCAAGCGAGCAGCTCCGCGGTGGTGGAGGCACCCATGCAATGGTTGACATCTGACGGTCGCACCCGCGGCAGCAGTGGCGGCGGATTTGGCGGGGGCAGCTGTGGCGGCGGCGGTGGGGTTGGCGGCGGGGGCAGTGGTGGTGGTTTGGGTGGCGGAGGCGGCGGCCAATTCGGCGGTAGCGGCGGCGGCGATGGCGGCGGGGGCAGGGGCGGCGGCGGTGGCGGTGGGGGCGATGTTGGCGGTGGAAGCGAGGGCGACGGCGATGGAGGAGGCGGGTTGGGGGGTGGGACCGATGGAGGTGGGGGCGGGGGCGGACTGCTCGGGTTAGGCGGAGGTGGCTGTGGCGGGAGCGGCGGGAGCGGCGGCGGCGGTGCCACGCACGAGGTTCCGTACGGAGGGTTCTGGCGAGCTGTAACCTAGCAAAGATCACGCGTGGGGTGTGGTCATGCATCTCCGCGCGGCCGCGCCTGAGGACGGAGCGGCCTCACCTCGTCCTCGCATCCCGTGGTGTCGACCAGGCTCGGGCAGACGCCGCCGTGCGGCCCTGCGTACCACCCTAGCACCTGGGTGACATCGGCCTGCTCGAGGCAGAGGCGTGTCCCGTTCGGGTACTGCGGCGCCCAGCGGTCCGCCACCCGGTCCCCGACGTCTGGCAACTGCGTCGGTGGGCCTGGCACGCCACCGCCGGAGTTCGTCCCACCCGCAGCCGGCCACATCAGAAGGTGGTAGGCTAGAGCAGCTGCTAGCATCGCGAGGAGCACAAAGCATGTGAGCAGCGACGGCGACAGTTGCTCTGCCGTTTGCGAGTCGGCATCGCGCACCTTCTGCTCGCGCTTCTGCTTCCCCATGTCGCGGCCTCTGGCGGCTCGCTTGCTCGGGAAGGATGCAGCGGCCGCTTCTTTGCCGCTCGTGTGCTGGTTGAGAGAGTCGGCATGCCGCACCACCATCTTGTGCAGCTTGGACAGGCTCTCGTGCGATCGTAGTACTGGCGAAGGGATATCCCTCGCGATATAGCCGGCTGCCGACCGGTCCGGCGACGCCTGATATGGAACGAGGGGCAGTGAGACAGTGCGAGGCCAGCTCACCTGGCACGCCGTCGCGGCGCCTCATCGTCGTCGAAGAGGTCGTCGTCGATGAGCTGCTGGAAGGGCTGAGCACGCGGCATGTACCGGGAGAGGGTCGTCCCCCGGGCAACGTTCGGCAAGTAAAAGAGGAATCAGATGCTCCGAGTGCTCCAAGTGCTTCCACTCGTTATCGGCCCTGTTATCTCCCGATAAGACCCACACGAGCGGGTTCAGCTGAAACACACCTCTCTCGCAATGCGAGGCTGGCTTGTGATCCGGCATGAGAGAGAGAGAGAGAGAGATTTTTAGCAATACCAAACAACTCTAACTTGTCCGGCATGTCGCCCTCTCTCGCCGAAGCCTCTCCCTCCGGCCTTCCGCCAGCACCCAGCAGGAGGCAGGCAGGCAGAATCAAACCCAAGATGCGCCTGGGCCTTGAGAAGGGGGTCGGGAGTGCCGGGAAAGGGCGAGGCATGAGGTGAATTTCTTTTACCAAGCGACAAGGGAGACGGCCCGCTGCTGCGAAAGCGGCGTGAGAGAGCGGTCAAGCGTGCGATGGGCCTCATGCAGGTTGAGTGCCCCGTGGGCGCGGGCGCCGGTCAGCGCATCAAGATTATGGCAAACGGCGCCGAGTACGAGGTGGAGGTCCCGGCGGGCATCGTTGCCGGCCAGACCTTCCAAATTGAAATCCCCGACGCGGCTCCGCAGTCCAGCGTGCCAATCGCGCAGGGCGTCATGGTGCAGCCCGACTATGCGCAGCCAACGCCGCAGTACGC